GTTGGGTTCAGAGCACTCAAGCCAGACTCCAGGAGGCTGCAGAAACAGCAAGGGCAATCTGGCTTTGACTTTATCACCTGTGCCTGTGAGGAGGCGGGGGCTGCATGGAAGGGGAGGTAGAGGGGGTGCAGGCATCCACCTGACAGGAACTAGAGCCAGACCCCGGAAGAGGGCAGGGCATGTGTCAAACAGCTCTCAAACACACAGGATGTGTTCTGTTGTAGCATAGATAGGAGGGGTCACTTCTGCGGCAGACAAATTTTAGGCACCAACTCCAGGGTGTGAGGAAGATAGAGGAGGAATAGGGAAAGAAATAAGAAAAGAAAGTCCTGTGGAGAGAGAGGAGCTGGAGGTGAATGTGGAAATGTTACTTTCTCTTTCAACCTGGGCCCCGCTGCACATTCAGCTCCCACGAGTAAACAACTAAGTCCCCAGGGAGGGACTACCGAAGGTGAATGGGAAATGTCATTCACTGTCTGACAAGACTCCCCTAGCAGAGATGAAGCAATGCTCTGCAGACAGGCCCGCTGCCAGCCTGAGCTCCTGCAGGACAGAAAACATCTCTATTCTGGCAGAGGTGATGCACTTGCAGAACTGCGCATGGCACCTGTGTGCAGGCATGTGTGTGCCTGGCTCTGTGTGTGTGTGTGTGTGTGTGTGTGTTTGTGTGCACGTGTGTGCGTGTATGTGTGTGTCTAGGAGCATGTTCAAGTCTCTGTGTGTTCACTTCTGATCATGCATATTGCATGGGACTGCACACGTGTGCCGAGGTAATGCAAGGCAACAATAGAGACGCGTGCATTTGGGCATATGCACAAGGCTGCATTTGAACATTTAAGCACCAAGGAGGAGACATGGGGGTGGGAGTTGGCTCTGGGCTCCGAGCTTCAGGGAGTCACTTCTTTCACTCTCTCACTCCCAACTCTTAGAAGTGTGTCTTCCTTTCGAGAAGCTGCAGCTCTGGAAAGAGAACACAGTGCTAAAGTACCTAAGAGCTGATATGTGGCCCCTGCTCTGCCAGGAAGTATTTTCTAACTGAACACATCATTTCTGATCTCTGAGCCTCATCTTCCTCAGTGTGAAATGGGCTGCTTCCTAACCAGGCCCATGCCTAAAGCTGAGGAGTCCAAGTCCCTTCCTGCCAGTCCCACCTGCCCCTCCTCCCAACAGCATGCTGCTTGCCCATTCTTATGTGGAGGACAGAAAACATGCCGGGGGAGGTCTTGAGGAGCTCTGAGCATCTCCAAAGATGACATTCCCATCCTGTTCTACTCCAGGCCTCTTCAGAAGCAGCATGAGGGATTTCTAGAGCTCATGGCATGGTTTGAAAACCATGAGCCTGGGCAGAGATCTAACCTTCTTCATTCTCCTGTTTCACCAAGGGTCTCAAGGCCCTAAGGGCTTCTCCAAGGGTCCTGAGGTTCCACCTGGTCACTGCTCTGGACATCCAAGGACATCTCCTTGGGATGCTCACATGCACAGCACAGAGCAGAGAGCTGGTGACAGCAGTTCATAAGCTCAGGCTGCACATTAGAACCCCCTGGGGAGCTTTACAAAATACGTTTGCTCAGGCCTCTCCACAGACCAACCGTCTAATTATCTCTGTGGTAAGACTGGACAGGGGTAGTTTTTAAAGCTCCCCAGGGCACTCTACAGCATCAAGAGGATTCAGAAGCCTTGGCCCTGGCACGGTGAATATCCTGTATATGTCAGCACCTGCTACCTGTGTCATCCCATGTGCTGGTCCTGCTGGAGCGGCCCCAGGGCTGGGCAGGGCTAGGGGTGGAGAGCCCGGAGGCAACTGCTGCTCGGGAGAGATGAATGCTGGGTAGAGTGGCCTGGCATCCATCTCCCTCAGCCACATCTCAGAAAATTAAATTAAAGCCCATATTTTTCAGCTGCTGCCCGCCTGGCTGGCTGGCTTGTAGAGGAGGCATGAGGCTGTGGGCACCTTGGGGTAGGAAAAGCAGGTGAGGAGAACCCCAGGCCTCTTCTAAGGGGAAGGAGACAGATCATGGGGATCCTGTGGAAGAAGACCAAATTCCCAGGGGTGGTCTCTTGACCCCCAAAGCTTCTTTCCAAAGCCTGGCAGGTAGGTTAGGGATGGTGGGGTGGCCAACTCTGAAGGTCATGGTTAGAACTTCAGATGGAGTTGAATTTTTGGGTGAATGCATGGAGTGGGCAGAAAAGAGGGAGACCTTGACCCTGTCCTTGGGAAAACCAGTATAGAGAAACAGAACTGGCATAATTCCTGCGCTTGGAGCGTCAAGGTTGTCTGTATAGACCAGCGCCAAATGCTTGAGACAGAGCTCAGCACAAGACCTAAAAGCCCTGCTTGGCTTCCCAGAATGATAGAACAGCTTAAAAGGAAGGGTGACACTCAGCTGGGCACCAGGGTGCAATGCCTAATCTAGTAAGAAAGATACCCATATGTCCTCTCAATAGACTTGTTGCCCTCTGGACTCCAACACTCTATTCATAGGGAGGAGCTGGACCACCTTCCTGGGTTCCAGCAGTAATGTGCCTTTTGATGCCTTGTGCTAGGTGAGCCTGCTAGAATCCTGTGCTACAAGGGTGCTAGGGGGTTCAGACCTTGGAGAAAATGTGAGGGGAGTCTTCCAGGCAGACCAACCAAAAAAAAAAAAAAAAAAAAAAAAAAAAAAAAAAAAAAAAAAAAACCCAACCCAAACCAAACCAAAAAACTGATATCCTTTGAGAGTGGACTTGGGACATGATTGGCCAATAATCAATGAATTCCAACCTTCATTAGCCCCTTGCAGGTCCCTCTGTGCAGGGAAAAATAGTACTTGGAGTCCTGAACGATATCTGGCAATGGTCAGCTAGAGACCCACCTTCTGGCCTTAGGCCCTCATGCAAAAGGAAATCTGGAAAAGGGAATGATTGTGACTGAAGGGTGTCTGGTGTCCTCCCCTCCCGCCTGGCTTTCCATGCAATGAAGAAGGTACGACTAAGGCATGGACCACACCCGTGGCCCATACCTAGTACCAAGATGTGTACCTGGGAACACAGAACAGAGAGCAGGGGATCTGGAACCCAAGGCAGTTCTAGAGTATGGAACAGGGGGCAAAGCAGGACTGGGTGCAGAACTCCAGTCATCCAGGGAGGCTGGCCACCCACATTTCCAGTGGGGAGCTGGCCCATCTGAGGTGACCCCATCAGCAACCTTCCACACACTCCCTGGCTGGACCGGCACCCTGCGCTCCCTGCCTCCCCCCCACCCCCACCCCGATCCAGAGCCTGCTGGCAGCCTTGCTTGCCTTTGCCCGGTTCACAGTTTACAGAGCACTTTCACACACGGCATCTCATTTGATCTTCCCAGCATCCGGGCTGGAGGCCAAAGAAGAAAGCCAACTCCCAGAAGCTGGGGCAACAAGCTAAGAAGGGGTGCAGTGGGCTCCAGAGGGAGGTCCTGGCTGTGTGGCTCAAGTGCAGCACCTGACCCTCCTCTCTTTGGAGGGGTCCCACTCTGTATAGATATAGAGGGGCTGACCTTGCTCCTCCTCCAGAAAGCTTTCTTGGACTGAAAGGAGCCAGAGTCAGGCAGTGTGGCATGGCATGGGGACAAGGACAAAGTATGGACTTGCTACCTGGTCCTAGGGAACTCTGTCAGTTTCTCTGGGACCTCGAGATCTCGGATTGTTGTTCTCAAGTGTCCAAAGCCACTTTTGTCCCCATCCTCCTCAGTTACACTGGAGTCCCCAAGGAAAGGGACACTTTCTTTTTCTCAAATCTCTTCCTTCTTCCTTGTCCCTCTTCCTCCATTGGAACTCCACACTAGGAGATCACCCCAGGACTTGGGCACGTAGCAGGCTGGTTAAGAAGTTGCTCAAACGGGCAAGGACAAAACTGGCTGAAGAACCAAGGACAAGGGTGTGGAGGGGCTCTGAAGACTGGTACCTGGGGTAGTAATGGGAAGCTGGGAGTAGAGGCAGGTACGAGTCATCCTCCTTCCCCATGACCTGGGCCATTGCTTTGGGAAACCAATCCCCTCATCCCTGCAGCCCAGAACTAAGCGGTGGGGTGGGCAGACCAAGCGTTTAAGTACTTGCTCAGGAGTGGGTGACTACTTCTCTCAGCTCGGTTTTGTCATCAAGCGACATGAGATCTTGACCTGTTTGGTTTCTGCCATTAAGGCTCAGTTCACCTGTTTGTCCTAGGAGGTTGAGCTGCATCACAAAAAAAGGCAGTAGTTATTTATTTTATACCACTGAATAAATGTGGCTGGTAAAACCCTACAATGGAGTGCATGTACTTCTTTTATTTAATGCTGTTGTCAAGACTGTGGGGATACTTACCTCCATTCCCTTGTGCAGGTGATGAAGCTGAGGCACGAAGGCTATCAGATTCATGCACAAATACCCTGCCCTGTCAGCAGGCACCGCCAATCCAATTCTGGCTATAAGGTCATTCTGCACGACATCAATTTGAGGGCTTCAAACCAGTTACCCCCAAACTAGCTGACCTTCTTAGGCCTGGCTGCAGAAGGTCTGGGATTTGCCCTCAGGGCAGGTTTCCCAGGGTGGGGAAAGAACAGGTCCCAGGACAAGAGAGAGAGAGAGAGAGAGAGAGAGAGAGAGAGAGAGAGAGAGAGAGAGAGAGAGCTTGTTTTCTGGCTCTGGGTGTCGGGCATGTGAAGCCTGCAGAAAGGAAGATTTCGAGCCCAGAGAAGGGCTCCCCTCAGACCAGAATCCTGAGACCAAGGCTGTGGTGGGGGGGCTGCCCCAGGGTCTCCAGCCGAGCCCATCTCCAGCCTAAGTCGGCTCCAGGCAGGGTCTCCACAGCACTCTCCCTCCTCCCCTCGACCTAGCCCCGCCCCGGACGCTCATTGGCCCGCACCCTACCCTCCAGCCTGCGAAGTCCGCGCCGGGAGGCGGTGGTCTGTCGCCTCCCTCCCGCCCTAGCCTGGCTTCGCGGCGGCGGAGGCGGCGCCTCTCCCGAGCACCGAGCCGGCTGGGCGGCCGCGCGGCTGGGGCGGCGAAGGCAGGCTGGGGGCGCAGCGCTCGGCCACCGGGCGGTGACTGACGGCGGCTCCAGGCGGCGCGGTCCCGCGTGTGCACACGCACACGCCGCCGCGCAGGGACACACGGACCCCGGCTGGCGGCCAGCGGACGCGGAGAGCGGATTGGGCGCGCGCTCCTCAGCACTCGCTCCGGCCCGGGACGTCTGGAGAGCCTGGTCCGCCAGGCCCGCAGCGAGCAGGTAAGGGTCCCCAGCGGCTCCTACCCTCCACTCCCAGCAGCCCAGCTCCAGCTCCAGCTCCAGAACCTTCGCCCAGGGGGACCGCGGGCGCCCCCCCTCCAGCCCTGGGGGTCTTTACGGCGGTGGGGCGCGGACCGGCGCTGGCCGGAGCTCCTGAGTCCGAAACGAAGCTCTCGCCCGCCGCTGCCGCCGCTTCCTGCGTGTCATCCCCCTTCCCCGTGACCAGGGCCATTGCTTCGGGAAACCGATCCCCTCAATCCCTGAAGCCCAGTGGGGTGGGGGACGACCCGTCTCGCGCTTCTCCCGGAGCCCAGTAGGGACAACCACGGGCAGGGATGACACTGCGGCCAGAGGGACCCCAAGAGACCTTTATCCTTTGAGAACGCATCAGCGTGGATTTGGAAGGCAACACTAGAGGGTCCCTCGGGACTAGGTGTCGCAGTCTGCACGGGGTTCGAGGGGTGGGCAAAGAATGCGCTGAGGTAGGGACCATCCTAGAACGAGCCTCTGAGGAAAAAAAAAAAAAAAAAAAAAAAATGAACCGTGCGGCATGGTTCCAAAGATCTAGTCCCTCGGTTTCCCGCGGTGCGGAGCTTCGGCTGTCCCGTAAGGAAACGCCCTGTGGGGCCTGTGACAGAAACGCGGCCTCCCAGGCCAGCTGAAGTGGGGTCTCTGCCTCCCGCCTTAAAGGCCGGCTCCCGCAGCAGCCTCGGGGTGTGGGGGTGGTGGCATCCTCAACCCGCGCGGGCTGGGAGGTCAGGAGGGACTGGGTGCCTCGGAGGAAGCCCAACCGGAAGGTGCCGGCATTCCAAGTGGAGCACCTCGGCCCCTCCTGGCAGGTGCCGGGCTGGGATGGGGGCGCTGCCAATTCTTCAGGCCTTTTCTGTTTCAGTGCAGGTGCGTCAGTCAGTCTCCCTTTCTTAGATTCCTCCAGCCTTACAGTGTCCTCCGCCTCCCTCCACACCCCCAACAAAGACAAAAACAAGACAGAGTATTTGGCTTTTTCTGTGAGCAGTCCTGGGCGAGGGTGGAGGTGGAGGGAAGAAGGGGCTGCACAGGATATCTAGGGCAACTTGCCCTGGGGCTGCCGCTGGCCAGAGCAGAGGAAGGAATGAGCATCCTGAAGGTCAGGCCGAAGGCTTTGGTGGCCCCTGGGCTTCTGGAGAGGGTGAGGACTTGCATTTGAGCCTGTGGGTAGGGCCAGCCAGGGCCAGCTAAGTGTTCTTGGGAAGCCCCTCTGAGTCTCCCCTGGGTGCAGGTGGGGCTGGCAGAGCCCCCAGATCCCAGGAGAGTCTGGGGATCTAGGTTCTCCCTGACCTTGGAGAGAGCAGGCAGAGGTGCCATTGGAAATTTGTTGATGGTCACAAATTACGGACAGAACACAGTGGGATGGGCCTTGGACCAGGTATCTAACCCATCTGTCAACAAGTTGTGTGTGTGTGTGTGTGTGTGTGTGTGCGTTGACCAGGGAACTGGTCCCTGTCTCTTGCTTATTTTGCCATCAGTGGCATCTCTCCATGGTGGGGTGTCTGAGATAAGACCTCTGGGAATCTGCCCCTGGGTGTAGGGAAGGTGGGTGCCTGCAGGGAGCCTCGGGAAGGACCCTTTAAGGACTATGCAGATCATAAAGTTCATAAATACCTGTTTTGGTATAAGTTTCAGGTTGGCCAGGGGTGGGGGTTAAGGGCTGGGGATCACTTTGGAGCCCAACCTTTCCACCAAGGCACCCCTTTCTGCTGTGCTACATCCCTACTTTGGGATGTTCTCTTAATTTCAGTGGATCTTTACAGATCAGTATCTGTAATTAGAGGTAGCTTAGGGTTGATGGTCACAGATTAATGGCCTCCCAGGGTTGGACACTTCACTGACCAAGGGCTGGTGTGGATGAAGCGGAGCCACAGCTTGCTGTCTGCCAGGGGGTAGGGAAGGTGGGTGCTTGCAGGCAGCCTCAGAATGGATCAGCACAGGGTGTGATCTCAGCTCCAGGTCTGAAAGTCCTTGCTTACCTGAGAGCCACTAACCATAGAGTTGACGTCCAGGTGACAAGTGCTTCCTCTCCTAGAAAGCCTATGAGCAGAGGTGTGGCACCCTAGATGGGAACCCATCATTGCTTTGTAATAAAAGAGTCTAAGTTTCCCTGGTCTGACAGGGTTGGGCCTAGAGGCCCAGCTGCCTTGGCAACATGGAGGCTGGAAACTCCTCAGCTGCAGTGTGTTTGTACTGAGCTCTGGATGCCGTCAGAGGCACACGGTGACAGCCACCCCCACAATGACACACAGAGAGGGAGTGACACACAGCTGGGGAGGTATGTAGGCTTCCCATGACACCTGCCAGGGATGTGGAACAAATAGAGACATGCGGTACCAGAAGGACAAACAGACATTGAGGCACGGCCTCTGCAGTTCTAGACTTATCAGCCTAGAGAACACAAAGCCTACCTTAACGATGGTCTAACTGCATGTGGACTCAAGTAGAGAACTGTGTGTGTGTGTGTGTGTGTGTGTGTGTGTGTGTGTGTGTGTATACACTGCATTGCAGGAGTCTAGGACAAGGGTCTGCAGGCTTTTGCGTAAATGTAGCCAATATGTTAAACTAGACAACTATAGAGGATATGAAAACAAAAACAAAGCCTGGGCGTATGCTAATAACGTTTATTTGTGGATGCTGAATATTTGAATTTCACGCAGTTTTGTGTGTTGTGCAATATGCCACTTCTTTTAATTTTTATTGACCATTTAGAAATGTACAAACCATTCTTGGCTCTCTGGCTGTACAAAAATAGGCAACAGGCTGATCCAACTGGCCGAGGGGTTTGCCAACTCCGGGGCTATAAGGTGAGGGAGGCGGCAGGGGGAGGCCTGCGGAGGGGCGGCCCTTGGTGCTGGAAGCCTGAGATTCCCAGAGCAGCTGGGTGCTTCAGTCTAGCCACCTGGAGCTCCTGTGCCTGTCTGTTTGGTGGATCAATCCCAGGAAGGCACAACAGTCCCAGGAAGGCACAACAATCCCAGGAAGGGCCCCAAAAGTGCAGGTCACAGTACTTCATCCCAAAGCAGTCTCCCCTTCATCTGTGAGCTATGTACCCACTCAAGGGACCCTGGGGACATCATTTGTGAAAAAATAACTGGAGTGACTGCAGCTGCCTTGCTTCAGAGACCAGCCCCCCAGGCTCCTGCTCCCCCACACCAGCGCTGTTAACTCCCTACCTGCAGGTGTCTTGTTATATCCCCCAAGGCCCTGAACCTCCTTCCCAAACTGCCCTGCAGGCAACTCTGCAGATATCTACCTTGTGTGCTGTGTGCCAGGTACCCGGCTGGCTCCCACCTGCTCACTGGTGGTCAGCACAGAGGGAGGGGGTTCTCTGGCCAGTTGGCAGCCATTTGTGTCCTGGGTAACTAGGTGTGATCGGGCCCCAGCAGCATGTCCAGCTCCTTCCACCTCCATCTCTCCTCTCTCTGTCTCCTTCCTCCCTTCCTCTGGCCTCATATTCTCTCTTCTGCCTCCTCCTTTCCTGCTCCTCTAGCCTTTCTGGGAGTGGGGTAGTGCACCCTGACTGTTCCAGGACAGGTGTGAAAGGGGGGTCCTGAGGACACAGTTTTGCCGAACTTGGAAAAGGTCAGCCCCTGCCCTCTGCAGTGGACCTGGAGGACACTGCTGTCTTGTACACTTGCTCCAGCATCTCTCTTTGTTGCCCCCACCCTAAATCCCTGTGAAGTGGAGGGCACGGGGGTCTCCCAGTGCAGAAAGGACCCCAGCAGCTCTGACATGGGATGGTTTGGACACTGAAGACAGCATGAGTACGAACGAGCCCTTTGAGGGCGCTGGCTTCGCTGTAGAGGAGAGAGGTGGAAGGAAGGCTGCTTCGTGGGAGAGGGCCCCAGGGAGGGAGAGGGTGCAGGGCTGCATTTCCATCTTTCAGCCCTCCCTGCCTGGCTCCCTGGCCCAGGAGGGCGAGGTGGTGGTGGGGTGGGTCCCGCGGCAGTGCCCATCCTAGAGGCAGCATGCAGAGAGCAGTGCGGTGACTGATGTCCTTTTTGGCTGCCTTGTGTCTGGCATCCAAGCTGGTGCTGCTCTCAGGAGGAGGGGTGCTGGGCAGCCCCTTGGGTGGTCCCCTCCTCAGGCAAGGCAGATGAGGGACCCAGGGCTGTGTGTCTGAAGAAAGCGAGGGAACAGGGCTGTCGTTGCAGCCCCATGGGAATCCATGCTGCTTGGGGCAGTGGGGAGGAGGTGTTGGAGCTTTCCTCTGAGGCCCCGGCCATCTGCCCCTAATGGGGTGGTGCAGGAGAGCCCGTTAGGAACAATGGTTATGTGGTCTACAGGTTCCTCCCACTCAGTGTGGACAGTGACAGCAGTCGTGAGTCACTGCCTGCTGTATGCTGACTGATAATGTGTCTTCTGGTTTCTGGGCCACAGTGGCCTGGGTCCTGGCTTGTGGGAGGACAGGACTGGTGTTACTTCCTGCCCCCAGGTGTTTGCTGGGCCCATAGGGTCTATGAGGGCAGGCCTGCCTTGATGGGAAGGGGGAATGGTGTGCCATTGGGTTCCCTAAACTTCCCAGTTCTAGCATCTATTTACATGTCCATTTCCTGGGAGGTAAAACTTAAGGACTCCAAGTGTGACCTTGAGAAATGTCTTCTGACCTCTGACCTCAGTTTCCCCATCCCCACAATGGGTAGATGGCCTTTAAAATTTCAGATCTGAGTGGTGTGTTTATAACTAACTCTTCCTGAGGATAGAGCATACATAAATACATGTGTAGAGACTATGAAAGGTGTAAGGGGACCATGCAGGGTTCCCAGGAGGCTTGGAGTCCATCCTCCTTGTTTGTTCGTTTATTTATTTGCTACAGGGTCTCAGTACACAGCTCAGACTCATAGTCATCCTCCTGTCTCAGCCTCCCCAGCACTGGGATTACATGTGCGGGCCACCATACATGGTTTCCTGGCCTGCACAGTGAGCCCAGGGTTCTGGGGCCAGCACGGCCTGTGCTACTGAGGATTGAAGCCAGGTCCTTGCACTTTCCAGGCAGGTGCTTAGATTGCCAAGCTATCTCCCCATCCCGTCTTTCCTCTACCAGTTACAGAGAGTAGAAGAAGCTTGGGGTCACTTCCTAGATCTACCATGTACTCGCTGTTGGCTGTGGGGATAGCTACTTAGCCTCTCTGTGCCTTCTAAGCTGCAGAATGAGACTAGTGTTAGAAAATACTTCACACTTCACATTAAAGGAGTTCATGTCTATTGCTAGATACAGTGCCTGGTGTACTGAGTTGTTTACTGTTAGCCATTAGCAAATAAGGGTGCAGCGGCCTGCTGGTCCCATCCTGAATGTGACCCTAGGCTCTGGGGGTGGAAGTGACTACAAGAGGGTGCAAAAAATCTGACCAGAAAGTAGCAAGGTGGTGTCAATAGTTAGCAGGTGTGTAGCCCTCAGTGAGTGTCGGACTGTCCCATGACTATTGTATGTACTCTGTAGTTTATTTATATAAATTTGTTGATACCTTGAAGTGGTAGCTGTGAGATAGTCATTACTATGATTCCCATTTTATAGATGAAAAAATAGAGGCCCAGAAAGCTTAGGCAGCTACCCTCAGGTCGTTGGGCTAAAATCTCTAGCTACATGTATTCCAGGTCTGCCACACTAAGTGCTTGGGGGTAGGTTTAACTGTTCTCAAAGCCACCTGACCAGTAGCACCTAGAGCTGGATTTGAAAGAGAACCTGGGGGAACCAGTCATGTCCTGAGATATTCTGCAGTCCGGGCCAAGGAGCCCAGGTCCCTCCTGGAGGTGGGGATTGTGTACCCCTGGACTGCTCCTGTGGCCAGACCCTCACCAGCATCCTGAGGGAGCTGTGAGGCAGAGGGAGCCAGGATGGAGAAAAGGGGGTGGGGGACAGCTGTCATCCCTGAGGCCAAGAGGCGGCTGAAGGGAAGTCAAGGCCCATGGGCTCCAGCTTCCAGCTCTCCTTGCTTTTCTGGGAGTGGCAGGAGGTGGACTGCAGTAAGGGCGCAAGAGACACCATAGTCAGAGGCAAGTGCAGAGGAGGCCTTGTGCTAGCTTTTCTTTTGCCCTAGCTGGCAGGAGAGGTGGCCTCCAGCCTGCCTGATGGCCTGGGGAGTCGACACTCCTCCATCTCAGCCAGGCAGGTTGGGAGGCCATCTCTCTGCAGGCAGGGCTATGGGCTCACCAGGGCTGTCAGAGGTGACTGAACCCTTTGGGGACCACTAGTGCAATGCCAGAGGCAACCTGTGGCCACCAGGGTGTGGAGGGTTTTTGGTGGGCTACAGAGATAAAAGTCTGAGTGCCAGGCATAGCCCAGGCCTCCCCTCCCTGCACAGTCCCCTCTGGCTTGCAGGAAGGGGTGGACCCTGTGTCCCTACTGCCTTGGGATTCTCAAAGCTTCTGGAAGATCTCAAGGGGTCTCCAGGTGAGCTGGGCTTGCAGAGGAGAAGGGCACCCTTTTCTGGAGACTCCCAGCTGCTGTTTTATTTTTCTTTCCTTTTTCGAGCTTGCTCCCCACTACCTGGAGCTCATGGGAGGCCAGAAGAGGCCAGGGCCAGGCAGAGAGCCAGGGCAGGGCCCCTGGGTGAGCACAGCTCTGTGCACTGGGTGTGTGGGTGAAGCCCAGTGGCTGAGACGCTTGGGCTCACCACCTCCTGCAGCAGGCATGTGTGGGTCTGTGGTGCCCCAACATGGACTCCAAACTATTTAAAAGCAATTAGTAATAATAATAATTTTAAACTAGCCCTGCTATTTTGCATGTTCTACTGTATCGCTCTGCCTGTGCCAGTGTAGCGGTGCCCTCCTGGGGGCTGCTGCACTCTCCCTTTCCTTGTCACCAGTGCTGTTTGAGGGAAGGTGGTAGTGACCAGCTTTGCACATGCTTCTTTTTGTGCATGTGTGGAGTCGCTGGGCTGCAGGATGTACGCACTCAGGGTCCATTTTAGGAGCAGGGAGCACTCTTCTGCCAAGAAGGAGAAGGGGTCCTGGGTTGCCGCATTCAATCTTTCTGCTCTTTTCTGGGGTCCAGTCTTGTGTCCTTGTCCCTGGGCACCCCTGCTTCTCTCAGGCTTGAGCTCATAGTCCCTGTTTCTTGTCACTCTATCCTGAGAGCAGAGTAGGGTAAGGCAGGATGAAAGAAGTGTGTGTCCCTTAAGGTGCCAGCCTGGGAGCCTAGGATGAAGAGGCACTTTAAGGGGTGAGTTGGATGCGAGTTCTTGTCTCCCTCAAGGAACATCTACAGTGAGGCGGGCCACCCAGGCTGCAGGGCACTGCAGGCCACCAGACCTCTCAGTGGTCCCAGCTCCTTTCAAAGAGTCACTCCCCACCCTCTCAGCTGCTGTCTGTGTCTACGCTGTCACAGCTGGCTGCAGCGTTCAGGGAGCGCTGGACAGCGCGTCATTCCTGCGCAGACCGGGGCTGTGGGCAAAGCCTGCATTGCTGCCAGCCACATGTCACAGGTGCCAGTGTGACCGCAAGCTCACACTGAGCACAAGGAGAACAGGAAATGTCATTTCTAGGTGGCTGTGTGTGTGTCAGCCACAGCATTGAGGCTGGGGAGAATGCCAAGATTCGGGGTGACAGCTGGTCGGCCGCCGAGGAGAAAGCCCTTGCTGACCCTCACAGTGGGCTGAGGGACTGAGCCAATGCGGTCGCAGTGTCCGCCAAGCCCAGTGCAGACTGGGGGCTCAGCACGGCTGTGGAACAGGAGATAAAGATAGATTGGCCTGGGCAAGGAGGAGGAGGTTTGCCCCGGGAGGCTGGGAGGTAATGACTCACAGGATCTTGCTTTTGCTTCCTCTGTAGCCTGCGGACACCTTGGACTGACGGGCAGCTGCTGGGACAGGAGACCAGCTGTGCAGGCAGAGAAGTGCCATGGCCAGCAACCTGCACGCGTCCCTGGCTGCTCTGCTCCTACTGCCTGTGGTAAGGGCCCATGACCCTCCCCTCCACTACTCTTCTGGCACTCAGCGTCTCCGGAGCCACCATCCCTGAGAACTAGTGGCTTTAGGCCATCCAGGGGTGGCAGCTGCCATGGAGCCCCCAGTGCCTTCTTGGGAAGCAGGGAAAGTCCCCCTCCTTTGGACCCTGAACTGATTGCACAGCAAATTATAATACCTTTCCCTCCCTTTCTCCTCTCTCCCTCTGTCTTTCCCTCTCCCTGCCTTTTTCCATTGCTTTCAGATGGAACCCAGGGCCTTCCCTCCCTCTGTGCTACATTCCTACCCCTTAAAATTTTTTATTTTATTTTTGTTTTGAGATGGGATCCTGCTAAATTGAGATACAGTGAATTGGGATTACAGGTGTACAACACCAGGCCTGGCTCACAGCTTTCCGATCTATTACGGTGGTGACATGGATGGTAACTTGTAGAGTTGTACAACATATAACTTGCTCGGCTGTGTTCCAAGACCTTGGTTAGGGTTGATCTTCTGACCCTCCACCTGTGAGCCCCTGTCAGATTTGGACTTGGAACTCTCTGCCCACTGTTCTTGACTCCCACGGAGAATGAGGATAGAAAGGAGGACAAAGAGGTTTCCAGGCTCCGTCCCACTGCTCGCTCGGGAAGTTTGGACTGGCAGTGAATGAAGCTGTCTTCAGGTTCTCGGGTGCCAGTCCTGCCCCTATCCCGCCTACCTGTGTGAGAGAAGAGTCCATCCCTCTTCCGGGAGCTGCCTGCAAAGCTGCAAGCAGCTGGGATTGGATGGATCTCGAACACGTCCTGTGACAGCTCAGCTGCCTTGTGACAGCCTCATACTCACTGACAGTCCCCTAGGGAACCATCCCTGCCCCAAGAATTTGAGCTAAAGTGACAGCATTCGTAGGCAGCTGTCATGGTACTAATGCACCGCCATGAAGCCACTTGGTGTTGAGTGAGAAACTGTATCTGCCACCAAACTGGCTGTGTGGCTTTGGGCTGCAGCTTCTTCTTTGAGCCTGTTTCCCCTTCTGTAAATGAGAGTGGCCTTTAGTAAAAAGGCCCTCCCTGCCCCTTTACCTGCTGCAGCTGGGGATATACCTCCGTCCTTGCTGAGCCCCCTGAGGAACAAGACAGTGATCTGTCACAGCCTGACTCCTCCCCGTCGCTTGCTTGCCCCAGTACCATCTGAAGGCCTGGACTCAGAGCCTGGCCCCACAGTCTGCCAAGCCAGTGATTTGCAGTGGGTTACTTGAAGTCTCTGTACTTGATGCCTGTAACATGGAAACTGATGATGAACAGTCGCCACGGCACTCTTGCAAAACATACGTACATAACCACAGACATGTATGGCATTCAGTATAATGCCTGTGCCTAGGAGAGAGCTGTATGTGTTTGCTGATAGTGTTACATGTTGTGGAAACAGCCTGTGGCAGGGTGGGCTCTTCCAAGGGTATCCACTGAATTGCTGATGGTTGAGAATCCCCGTGTGGCCTCTGCCTCTCTCCTTTCTGTCCTAAGCCCTCCCCCACATCAGACAGGGCAGGGTTTAGCTGGGAGGTTTTGTCATGCCCTTGGGCATGACACCTGTCACCGTCCTCACATGTCTCCCCTGCAGGCTGCTGCCATGCACTCTGACTGCATCTTCAAGAAGGAGCAAGCCCTGTGCCTGAAGAAGATCCAGAGTGCCTATGACCTGCTGGGCTTGAATGATTCTGCTCTGGGTGAGTGGCATGGGGTGGGAGAGCAGTGTCCCCAGCACATCAGGCCACTTTAGAAGCACGCTTCTCACCTGGACCACCTTGCAGATGGTGGTGGAAGGCGCAGGTCTCTGGGGTTTCTGTATCCTCTCTGGGCAGGGGCATTGGGGTTGTCCTGCTTGGGGCCAGTTTGCCTTGGTGGCTCAAGGCTGTTCTGTGGCCACTTTCTCTCCTGCAGGAGAGATAGAGCTGGTGCCTGGCCAGGGCGGTGGCTGTGAGAGAGCTTACTATGGGTCACTAGGGTCCGGTGATGGCAAGGACGGGGCTGTTGCCCGTGGCTAAGCTATGACAGCCCTGGCCAGGATAAGGCAGTGGTGTGCACTCCTCTTGCTCCTCTGCTCGTTTCATCAGCCAGGGAGAAAGGCAGCAGGCACCTCTGTCACAGGTGGTGCCCTTGCGGGCTTCTCCTGGGAATAGTGAGCATTTGGGGAGGGACATCATGGCCTGTGCTGCATGAGACCACACACTCCGGGCATGTACCATCCTTTGCTTCTCCCTTTTAAGTGCTTATAACACCCCAGATGCCGAAGATAAGCAAAAACTGTCTCCCAACATTGCACAGGCCCCAAGGGAGTGGCGCAGCTCTCGTGAGACCTAGAGGTCCTAGGTAACCTTCTCCCAACTCCTTGCCATGGGAGTGGGACCCTAAGGGCCACAGAGGCGTGGTGTCCTCTGCTTCCTGCTTGAGGGACAGTGGGGGTGGGGTGGGGCGGGGGTGGCATCCTGGAGGCCACCCTCTCCTTCTCTGCCTCCTTGCTAAAGGCCGGGATATGTGTCCCTGAGGGTGGGACTGCTGCTCAGGCCAGAGGGACATATTCCTCCCTCTGGATCTACCCAGCTCTTCTGAGCACCATCTGCTTGAAGACTTTATTAATCTGTAGCCCAGTTAAATGTAGTGGTCCCACCGGACCGAGCTCCGCAGCCAGCTGCTTCAGGGTGAAGACTGGGAGGAGAGCAATTGTAGACATGCCAGCCTTCCCTGCTGGCCCTGCACTTGCTAAGGTCAAAAGTGAAGTCTAGGCCCCGCCAACTGGGGAAGCCCAGGCATGGGCCCAATGCCACACAGCCCAAGGAAGCCCAGACTATCTGGAGACCCTCTGGTCCAAGTGTGTTGTTTGGGAAGTGAGGGTAGTGCCTGTTGGAGCACCAGAGCTGCCTGGGTCCCAGGAGTGCTGCCTCTTATGCCCCAGGGCACAGCAAACAGGCCTGAAGGAAGAGAGAGGTGGGCAGGGTGGGGCAGGGTCCCCTGGCTGTGTGTTGTTCAGTCCTCACTCAGCCTGTGGAGCCCTGTCTGAGGGCTTGCCTTCAGGGATGGGCCGACTGAAGTGAGAGGGAGGTGAGGATGGCCTCCCTCTTCCGAGGGGCAATGTAGGAGGAGGTCTCACTCAGGTGCCCACCGGGAGGAGGATAGGGAAGAGCTGTGGAGAAGGTGGCCTGAAACTCACTGCTGGAATCTGCATGGCAGTGCATACCTGTAAGCTCACTGCTCTGGAAGCCTGCAGCAGGAGGGTTGCAAGCCAAGGAATCCGTAAGAGCAAGAGGCCTGGGGGCAGGAGTCTGACCTCTGGGGCACTGAGTAAGCCCTATCTGGAGGCCTGGGAAGACACGACTGGGTAGGAGGCTGCTGTGCACCTCATGTCCACATCCACTGGAGCAGGACCTGTGAATCAGGGCTGGCCATACGTCACTCCTAAACCCTGAACTTTGGTGGGGCACCCAAAACTTGTGGAAGAAACTCAGCCACGCACTGCTCATTCATTCATTCATTCATTCATTCATTCATTCATTCATTCATTCATTTATTCATCCACCCATCCCCTCCCCAACTCATGGTGGCCCTTCTCACCCTCTCCTTCTGTCTGGTCTGTGTGGGCTGGAATCTGAGGTGTCCGGCCTGGCTGGCAGAGGGCAAGGCAGGCAGAGGTGTCTTCTTGAGGACAGGGTCTCACATCTCCCCCAGCCTCTGCCCTCCTTGAGTCAGAAGGAGGGGTTCTGTAAGACAGGGTGGAGAGTGAATTAAGTAGAAGCAAAGAGCAGTCATTAGGTAGGAAAAAAGACACAGCAGGCCAGCTGGACCACCCACTCCTTGGCTCTTTTCTCCCTACTCTGGGCTTAAAGATCTCCTTAAGGGGTGGGGTTTGGAATGGACCACAGCCGATACTTATATAGACTTCTGTGCCAGGCACTGTGCTGGGATTCTACTCAACCGCCACAGCCTAGGGGAGGGGCTGGGTCTGTTACTGCCCTTGTTTTATAGACAAGGAAACTGAAGCACAAGAAGGTTATGTACCATGGTTAGGGACACCGTGCATTAGGAGGCAGAGGAGAAACTTGAATTCCGCCTGAGCCCTCAACCACAAGGTTACACAGCCTTGGAAGAACAATGCGCTCCGAGTCCCTGTACCTCAAGTCTACCCGTCACCCTGTCACCAGCAGTGGAACCTTTGGAGGGCACTTAGCTCCTTCATTTTTTTGTCTGCATTTCTCCCAAGTATGGTTTGTGCAAGGGACACTGTGTAGCATTCACTAAGCATGCTGCAGGGACTGCAGTTGTTGTCCTGGGTCATCTCACAGTGCCAAGGGTGTCCAGGCTCATCCATCTTCTACTAGATCTGAATTCTCCTGGACAGTCTAGTTTCTCCAGGCCTTAGGTCAGTCCGTGGGGGCCTACATGGAAAGGCTTTTGGTAAGAGGAAGGCCTGGGACCAGCTGTGGGCTCTAGAGGGCAGAGGAGAGCCAGGGAAGGAGGCCGAGCGAGTCAGGGTGCAGTAGTCCAGTGAAGGAGGGAAGGGCAAGGGTGGCGCCAGGGTGCTTCCACACTGCTCAGAGCCATGTTCCTGAGCACTACTCTGCACTGCAGCTCAAGATGAGCCAGGAGAAGGCACCCCACCTGCAGCTGTCCTCCTTGTTGGAGGGAAAGGTCAGGAAGCACTGGGGAGAGGCGCTGGAGGGGAGGGCCCTGAGTGTGTGCCCAGGAGCCCTAGTTCTTAACTGCACCAAGGCCTGGGTGTTTGTTTTGCAAGGGCTGGGATCACAGACTGTCTCAGTCTCCCATGGGCTGACGCATGTCCTAGTGCAGCCTCTGCACTCCCAAGAAGAACTCAGAGCTAGTGGAAGACAGGTCCCGAGGGCCATGGAGCTCCACAGCACTGAGGTGATAAGGAAGGGGGCCAGGGCAGGGCGAGGGAGCCCGCTGGGGAGGCCCACCCAAGAAAGAGGCCCATGGACCCCCACAGGCTCATCTTGCAGGCTGAGGGGGCACGCCTGTCTCAGCTGTGGGAGGTATGGGAGGTGCTTCTCCGGGGCTCAGTTGTAAGCCAGCAGCGCTCCAGCCCCAGCCCTAGGAGATGCCTGAATTTCCCCTGTGTTCCGCTGCAGGCTCAGACCAGCTCATGGGGTCCTTCTCTACTGAAGTCAGGCCTTTTGGCTGCAGAGTAAATGCACATGTGAAGTATACAGTAGTCACCCAGTGTGTCTAGGCCCCTCCCCAGCCCAGTGTCCACAGCCTCTCGGTGGAGCTCCAAGCGGGTCTGTGCTAAAGGCCTACAGGTGATTCCAAAGTGCACCCCAGTTTCAGAACCACTGGCTTAGCAGAGAACATTACCTGCCAGGGCCCCTCCCACAGGTGAGCCAGGCTGGGGACTGCACCTCAGGCCACAACCAAACCTAGGAGCCACAGAGACTGGCAGGTGTGCATTACGCCCTTGCCCTGTGCTCAGGGTGAGCTGGGAGGGCCAGCCCTCCCGTCGCCACCCTCCTCTGCTCTCCCTGAAGACACAGCTGCACCAGTGCTGGTCAGAGGTGTAGTGATGTCCGTGATGTGTACCATGATGTCCCTGAGGTGTATTTGAAAATGAACACAGGAAGCACCCAACAGCTTATTGCATGGCTTGTGAGGATGAGCTCACAGCAGTGCTTTTACACACGCACACACACACACATACACACACACATACACACACACATACACACACACACACACACACCCTCAGTCCTTGCTTAATGATGGAGATGTCTTCTGAGAACTGCATCGCTGGACGATTTCTTTGTAAGAACATCAGAGTGCACTTACACAAACTAGATCGATCACTCCATGTGGTCTCCTGGTTTAATCAAGAACACTGTAAGCTCGGGAGGTAGGAGGCTGCATGCACAGCAGGCTGCGTTGAAGTAGAGCTTTCGATGTGTAGGTAGAAGAATGCGCTGAAAGTGACAAAATGTGTGGAACCCACGTAAGCCCAATGGTTTATTTCCATGTTCAGTGTTCTGAGCATAATTGGTCAGTCTGTGGTTTTTAACTGCTGGCAGCCCAGTAGGTGTGTTCAGGCCAGCACCACCACAGAAGTGAGAGCTTTGCATCACATTGCAATGGCTGTGGCATCACCGGGTGGCAGGAGTTTTCTAGCACCCTGTAATTTCATGGGACCACCTTGGGGTGTGGAATTGGTTGTGGACAGCAATAGCATTCTGTAGCCTGTGGTTGAACATAGCCTTTCTGTATTTTAACATGTTTATGCATAAGTATGTATATGTAAATATTCTATATTTGTATGCACACAGGGTGTGTCTCCTCTCAATCTCTTAGATCTAGGAGTGTGAGTCTAGTCTGCAGCACCCTGGTTGGTTGCAGGGAAGGATGTGTGTGGCTCTATATGTGAGTCCGTCAGATTGCAGGTCCTCACTGGTCGAGAAACAGTCATGCATCTGGTGGCCTCCATGGCAGAAGCCCCTGGAGCTCTGTAGCTGGCTGTGGGGAGTGAGCACTGATGGCTTAGGCAGGGGCAGGGGTCCTTTGTTGGGTCTTGCATGGAGGAGATAGAAGAGGGAGTGCTCAGTGGTGCAGGAGCAGCAGGGAGAAGAGGCAGAGCGCAGGTGGGAAAGGCTGCTTGCTGCCCTGCTGGCTCATCCTCTATGCCTTGCTGGGACCTCGGCTGGATCCCTGCATCCTTGAGGAGGGCACCACT